TACTAAACATTATTGAAATATTTTAGTTCTACTTGCCCCATTCACCTCCACTAAGCGAGCTGGCTTTATGCAAAAATAGAATTTTCTTATAACTGCTCTGTGCATCTTGCAGTTCTTCCTGGGGGATTATCGGCCATTAATTCAGGACATATATGGTAATGTCCTTGACCAGGTAAGGGGATCATCTTTTCTTCCCCTTCTAGTGGTTCTACTTATAATTCTGCCGTTATAGGCATAATGTAATCACTAATTGGCATTTGGAAACTTTGATTCAGGAATCTCAGCTTCAACCTTATCGCCGAAATATGGAGGATCCTCTTTGCGATTCAGGTTTAATTTCTTTTACTATGATTCTAAATGCTTTGTGGATCCTTCCACTGAGGATGAGCATATCATTCACTCTCTATTGTTCTGCATTCTAGGGATGATTCCATATGAAGAGCCATATCAGACCATGTTTCAGAAACGACGACTCGGTGCCTTAGGCAAAGAATGGCGACCATCTTCTTTGAAGCTTGCGGTCGGGCCAGATATCACTTTAGATCAAGATTACCAAATGCCACCTCTGGCAGATCTAGACTTAGCCGAACCGTTGCCAGAATTTATAGATGTAATGGAGTGGGAACCAGAAGTTGATATCTTAAGTGATGAAAACGACTCTGAATACAATGTGCCAGAGGAGTATTCGTCTGGAAAAGAGCAAGAATGTTTAAATTCTTCAACCTCTGGTGAGTCAGGTTCCAGTTCCGGTGAAAGCGATGAGGATGATGATCATCAGAATAGCCTTAGAAGATCCAAAAGGAAAAAACATAAGAAAGAAGTGAGTATTTTGTAATATTGCTTTGATCTTGTGCCTAAATAGGTTTCTAATCCATTTTAACCTCTTTACCAGGCTGGGATCATGACTTCTTCGGGTAGGCGCGTCAAAAAGAGGAACTTTGATGAGCTTGAGGGAGCTCCAAGCAACAAAAAACGTACCAGGAAATCTAGGAGTGGTCGTAAAGAATCAAAGAGGAAATCTTCAAAATCTAAATCGTCCAGACCTAGGCGAGCAGCTGCACGAAATGCTCTCTCATGGTTTTCTAAGATTACAGGTACATCTAAAGATGCAGAAGAGGAGGAGGTCTCTGAATTGAGTGATTCGTCAGAAAGTGAATCGACAACACAAGACTCAGGCACTGGGGATAGTGAAGTTGAAGTAGCTTTGTTAAATGGGCATGGGAAGCAATCGAAGGGGAAAAATATCCTCGTATGTGATTCAGATGATGGGGCTCAACAATGTGATATCAGAGAAGCTCATCCTGCTGAAAGGAGGAGATTGGTTCTTAGATTTCCTGTTAGGAATTCAGATAAGCTTACTTTACTGGAGAACCTACCTGGATCATCTTCTGATGTTCCAACTCCAACTTTAGGGAACGGCTGTGCTGAAGACTCGAGGATTCCTGGGAACCTTGAAATTTACACAAATCAATTTGAAGGGCTAGATGTAAGTAAAGTCAAATGGGGAATGGTTAAGGCTCGTACAACGAAGCGAATAAGAGGTGAAGCAATATCATCGCATGAACTTATGGGCTCTGACCCGGAGGGAAAGGAATATAATGTTAAGGAAGATGCAAATCACCATGGAAATGGCGTTACAGCACCTAGTTGTTTGGAATTGAAAACAGATATAGATGGCATGGCAGTTGACACTGACACGGTGATCTCTAATGGTTTGCCAAACGGTGGGAAGCGATATCCAGAACTGGATGGGTCACCAAGTCGACTGGCTGATGACAGGGCCTCTAACAGTTCTCAAGATGTAACCGGTCACCGGCACAATCTAATTGATAGCCTTCCACCAATCTCAACGACATTGAGGATACGCTCCAAGAGAGTTTCAAGGGCTCCGGATACATCTTTGAGGCAAGAAGGAAAGCCCTTATCAATAGATCAAGAGACTGGTTGCTCTGATGCATTAAATGATGGTTTTGAAGACGCTAAATGTGATTTGGGATTGGACTGTCAAAAGGATGGTGCGGTTGGGACAGAGATATCTCTGCGAAATGATTGCGTTCTGGAATTATATCCTCAGATCAGTGATGCGCTCTCAATAGCTAATGATGTTCCTGTGTCACACTCACATCCTAAACGGATGTTTGATTTTGTCTATACACGAAAGTCACGGAAGCATAATAACAACTTAGACAGGGATGCTGCTATTACTAAAGAAATCAGTCCAGGTTCTTGTAGTCAGGATCAGGGTAGTGGCTCTAAGTCCCATGAAGGTGCCTCTAATGGGTTCCATAGGACTCAGTTGAATGGATTAGAGAAGTCAGAAGGCAGTTTGACACACATCCAAGATAAAATAAGTGATTCACGTGGAAACCAAAACTCTCAGGAAGAATTGAGATCCGCTTCTGGGGCAACACTTCGTTTGAGATCCACAAGAAATAGAAAGTCCACTTATCCTTTTAGTGAAACTAAACCTATTGAAACAAAGAAGCCTCAGCAGTTAATAGAAAATGTATCCTGGTTGACATTATCGATACATGAAGAGGGTTCTCGTTATATTCCACAAATGGGGGATGAAGTTGCGTATTTGCGACAGGTAAGTTTTGGTGGTAATCTTATCTGTTGTTTCGTTTAGTCGGTATCAATTCTCTTATCTGCGGCTGTTACTCTTATATTTCAGGGGCATGAAGAATACTTAAACTTTAGCTCCCTGAGGGAAGTGGCTCCTTGGACTTCAATGAAAGGAGGAAATATAAAAGCTGTGGAAATTTGTAAAGTGGAAAGTCTTGAATATGCAACTCTTCCTGGTTCTGGGGATAGCTGCTGCAAAATGATACTTAAGGTCATCGATCCAAACTCCGAAGTGTTCAACAAAGCTTTCAAACTTACGTTGCCTGAGGTGGTGACCTTTCCAGATTTTCTTGTGGAAAGAAGTCGGTATGAAGCAGCAATACAGAGGAACTGGACTTGCAGGGACAAGTGTAAGGTTTGGTGGAGAGACGAAGGCGAAGAAGATGGTAGTTGGTGGGAAGGACGGATTCTAGCTGTGAAACCCAAATCACCTGATTTTCCTGATAGTCCGTGGGAGAGGTACACAGTTAAGTACAAGAGTGACCCTGCCGAGACACATCTTCACAGTCCCTGGGAGCTTTTTGATGCTGATACCAAGTGGGAGCCGCCTCACATTGATGATGAGCAACGAAACCGTTTGCTCTCGGCCTTAACAAAGTTAGAGACTTCAGACAAAAGAACCCAGGTATGTGATCCTAATGAATTTAATATCTCATGGTGTTAAATTCAGACTATCCTAGCCACCAAATTCAGACTTCACCCAAAGAGCTTAGGCCCATGTTTACATTAGCTTAGCAGGTTTTATAGATCACACTCTTTATACTCGGGTTTTAGTTAGCCTTAGCTTAGTGGATTAAGGCACAACATTATCCTAAGAACAAAACAATATGACATTAATGTCGACTAATTTGTTTCAGGATTCTTATGGCCTCCGAAAACTGAACCAGACGGTGGGAAACTCCAGCTACACCAACAGGTATATTTCTACTACACTAGAAGAGGCTTTGGTGGAGCCAAAGCTGACATGGTTTTGTTCTATGGATTCATTATGCAGGTTCCCAGTTCCTTTGTCTCTTGAAGTAATCAGATCAAGGCTTGAGAACAACTACTACCGAAGTGTGGAAGCATTAAGACACGACGTATCAGTAATGTTGTCGAATGCAGAAACTTTCTTTGGTCGAAATAAAAGCGTAGCAGCCAAAATCTCAAATCTCTCTAACTGGTTCGACCGCACGCTGCCTTCTTCGTAGCTTATCATCCTCCTCATAGCGGCCTATGTAGATAAACAGATTTTTTTTTTCTCATGTTTCAAAATTAGTTAGGTAGGATTTCTGCAATTCTTTAAAAACTCTGGTTCTAATGGCAGAAGAGAATTTTAGGGTTTTTTTTCCTTTAGTTAGAAAATTTTAGGTTTAGGGTTTAGCTGGAGAAAATCTTTTTTTTTCTTTTGGAATTGTAAGTAAAGAGAGTTTGGAGAGGTCAAAAACATTTGATGCTTTGGAAAACAGAGAATCATCTTACGTACTGATCCAACCCAATTTGAGAATAATTTCGTTTTCTGCTAATAGTACACAACAACAGATGAAATTTTGGACAGTATATGCTAATGGCCAAAAAATATATCTTTGTCTACAAATGTAATGGATGATCTAAGACAAAAAACCATAAGATGGAAACAATGTTTTGATAGATAAATGCTAGACCAAGGTCATCACTTTCAAACTTGGTTTTGAACAATTAGAAGATGATGTGGTTGCTCTAATCAGTAGTAAACTGAGTGATAGATATTGCCAGGTGTTTTTGAAACACTGTCAAGGTTAAGCTCCAATGAAATCAGTCAGTGATTATATGTTGATGATCCTCTCTCAAGGTTTGTTTTATAGTCACCTATTACAATTGTTTCTTGGTATTGATATTTTGATCTTTTGAGTTTTGTGTGATTAGGATGGCTGATAAACTTAAATGTTAGTTTTAAGTGATGGACAATTGTTTTTCAGTAGTTCTTTAACAATGTTTTCTTCTGCAACGACATAGCCAAATTTTAAGGGTGGTACGACATTGTGGGTATTGTGACCAGAAAGAATAACAACGATAATGTGAAGAACCAACTACATATTTGTTACTCTCTCATAATAAGAATAACACAAGTACCTGAGTTTATCATATTTGAGTTTAGTGACTTTGAAAGTCTCATCGAGAGAGACTACTTAGAGCAAGGTTCTAAAACACCGTTTCCTCCTGCCGGCTGCCGGGCTTTTGCATTTTCGGAGATTGTACTCTTTAACAAGAAGAAGAGAGTTTATCTTATTCTCTCTGGCTATAGATATCATTCTATTTTCCATTCCATTGTTCTATTTCTTCTACCTAAGGTATTGGTGAACCTTGTGACATTAGAGAAGTTATGGATGAGAGTCACATATGAATGTAAGAAAAAATGATGATAAAATTGTTTATAAGCAGAAACATTGAGAGAAATTTGTCAAGAAACACGTTTTTAATTACATAACAGTAAAACAAAGATTCAAGAAACAAAGCCTTAAAAATTAACAGAGTCGGCTCAGGGAAGCTTAGGGTGGCCAGAGGATTTTCCTGTGAGTTTCTCCGGTGAGATGGAAAACTTAGAAGGGTTGTGTTTAGTGAACCAAGTAGTGTACAAGAATTGCTTGTGAGGACCAACATGGTTACATATCAGCTTCAGCTTCTGTCTCTCTCTCATCCATCTTAGTATAATCTTCATGTGACGCTTGCTCGTCAGCCCTCTTAATCCCACTTCCTGTTCAATTTTTTTGATACCAAAGATCAGATTTAAAACTACACTTTGTGTTGACTATCAATGGTGATGATACTTGCATAATTTGTTTGAAAGCTAACCAACAACTATTCCACTTCTTGACCTAATACGATTTAAGAGTAATCGTTACTTAACACATCACCAATTGGTTTTGAGATAAATGTATATGAACCTTCACATTCTCTACCTATAGTTATCAAAATTTCAGGTCCAAAACCTCTAACAAAGAAAGTGACAGCATCTAGTAATGTAGAAAAAGAGTAATATATCAAATGGGTTTTGAGATATCACTCTCTCTACCTTTGGAACAGATTTGAGAAACAATCATTCTACTTGTTAAAGTCAATCTAAAACCTCTAACAAAGGAAATGAAAAATGCATCTGGTAATGTAAAAAGAGCACCTTCACACGATCCCAAGTTTCAGCAATGGTGAGAGGTCCATGATCTTTCAAAATATCAAAGATCACTCGGGTGATCGTCTGGGTTTGCTCCGGTGGTGTGTTCAGCTCGATCGGTTTCATCTTGGGTTTGGGTTTCGTTGCAAAATGCCTTATCAACAATCCAACTACATTGTGATTACTTCTGTTCCAAGGCATCATCATGTTCCGAAACATATTCAGATTTCTTCACTAGTTTCCTGAACAGCTAGAAATGAATCAAATCACTATTAGGAAAGATTCACGTTGAGACAAAACCAAAACTGTTTATCATTAAACTACCAACTACATGGATGCGATTAAATAGTCATCTTCCTAAATTATAACTCTAGAGGATTCCTATCTGAGAAGAATTCAAGAACTTGAGGAATAAAGTGAGGAACAAACCAGTTGCCAGCTCGAATCTCAGCTAGGCATTTTATCGAACACTTTGTGTGCAATATGGGCTTTAGAGGTGTATCAACCACAGAGATTGAGAAAAGGTAAAAACTTTACAAGGTGAACACAAAGTGGAAGCCCGAGCAAACAAGTATAATCTTCAGAGAGGGATCAGTCTGTGAGGAAGGAGACTAGCGAGAGAGAGATTACACTTTGTAGTAGTGAAGCCAAGTTACTACAAACTTAATGTAACTATTTATGTAAGATACATAATTATGGATATTTACAAAACAAGCTCTTGACTTTACCCAATATTTGTATATTTCAGCGGATGGTTTTAAGAGGATAATTTTTGCACAAACAATCATCCTAATTCCTTGCTCTTTTGTTTGAACTGATTATTTTCCAATTGTTGTTTTGTTAGCACTATTTAGTGATATAATTTGGATCGATGTAGCTATTTTTTTTAGTTATAGAGTGATAACAGTAGATAATGTCCATTTATTGCCAAAGAACCCTCTCCATCCTTTGAATATATGCTAAAACCCACGCTCTCTAAAATCTCTATCATAACAACACAAAGCTATTTTGTTTAGGTTTACAACATTCTCCAAGAAGCTATTGAGCTATGAAAACTTGAGGGGATTCTAAGATTCATCAGTTTCTTACAACAAAAAGCCATAAATGGCTGACAAAACGAAATATCGAACTTGAGGAAAAGAAGAAAGAAGCAGTGAGTTTTCTTCATGTAGCTCAAAATGATTCTCTATAAAAGCATAAGAATTTGTTGCTGTGCCTCTTGCTCTTTTTTTCGATTTCCTAAAACCAATTCAACGACGTTTGTTGCTGTGCCTCTTGCTCTTCTTCTTTCTTCTGCTTCTATCTTCATCAGAATCTGAGTCCGAAGCTGATTCTGACTCAGATGACTCCGACGAAGAAGAGCTGTATCTTCTTCGCCTTTCTTTACTCTGCTTTTGTTTCTTCTTGCTCTTCTTTGCCTTTCTTTTCCTCCTCCTTTCGTCCTCTGAGTCCGAAGATGAACTGTATTCTGAACTACTCTCTCCAGATGAGCCACCACTATCTGTTTCAAACACAGAGGCTTCACTGTCACTTCCCGAATCAGACTTTGACCTATGCTTTCTCTTACTCTTCTTAGACCGCCTCTCAACTTCTGCTTTCCCATTAGTTGCATCTGGCCTTTCTTCATCATCATCATCATCATTACCACCAAGATCATCAATAGAAGGCTTCATTCTCAGTTTAGGATTCTTAAGCTGCTGGGTTCTCGAAGGTCTCGAGATATAAACCCTTTCATTCTTACACTCATAAGTCCAATGTCCAGTTTGGAAACATTTCTGGCACAGTGAAGCCGCCGAAGCACTGCTTCCCACGGCAGAAGCTGACATAGTTTTGTCTTTCCTTTCACCAAGCCTAACCGCTTTCTCGGTACTCATCAAATACATCTGCCTCTTTAATTCTCTTTTCTCCTGCCATCTACTCGGACCTTCTTCCTTTTGCCCATAAGCGTTAACGTTTCTCGCCGCTGCAGCTGCTGCTCGCTCCGCTTGAGTACGACTTAGCCCTTTAGCAGCAGTAAGTGTTGCAGCCTTGATTTTATCAGCTGCAACTTGTGCTTTCTCGTCCTTTGAATTAGACATGTCTCTCTGTATAACAAGAAAATAACCAGAAATTTAAAACCAAATATTCATCTTCAACAAATACAAATCTGAAACAATTCAACAATATAGGGTTTAGCCCTAATCAGAGGGATTCGAAATTAGGGTATTCTACAAGATGCGACGATTCATCAAACTGGGTTTCGCTACCTAGAACATTACAATAAGATTTGATTCCTAAATTCTAAGACTTTACGATTTGTATCACGAGAAATCGTAACTAGGGTTTATCGATCTAATTACTCGATTCCAAGATCTACACAAATGTTTGGAAAAGGAATTGAAGAAAACTTACAATTAGAAACGAGAAGATCGAAGGAACGTGCTTGGATTGGGAGGAATTAATGGAGAAGATGAGCCAATTTGAGAGAGACGGAGAGTGTGAGAAAGCGGCGCAATGCGATGAAGACGAAACAGACGACAAAAAGTATTCTTTAACTCTTTTCTTTTATTTTCTCTCAAGCCCTTCGCTCCTTTTTAATTTCCCAACTCTTTCCTATTTTGTTTTTGCCATCATTTCCTTTTTATTTTTAATTTTAATTTATATATAGTTCTAATTAAAAAAAAATACAACAGAACACTAATCTATTTTGATACAAAAATCTATATTTTACAAAAAAAAAAACCTAAATTGTTTTCTATAGATGAAGATATATAAAATTGAATTGAATAATACTGTATGTATGAAATTTCATAGCTTGAATTATTTGGTTTGCAGTTTAGTTGTTTTTACGATAAGATGCGCTGGTTAATATCAAAGTAAAACACTCGAGAAGGTTTTGTATGTTTCAAATATTTCTAATTTCTATCCACGTAATTTCATTGATTCTAATTCCTATCCACGTAATTTCATTGGTTAATATTATATTAAACGTTTCCTTAATTTTTGATATGATTTTCTGCATACATTTAATATTATTTAGTTAATTATTATTGTAGGTATTATATATTGGCAACCAACGACGTTGAAGAGACAATGAAATAGTAAGGATTTTATGTCAAATATTTTTGCATGTTATGTAGTCTCTCTATATGTTTTTCAAATAAAATATTATTAAAAAGTAAAATAACAAAATGATGTTTAGTTTCACAGGGGTTATATGGTAGGACGGGTTTGGGTCGATATTAATATGGAACGGTATACCACGGGTAATATTGTAAAACTAACAATCAAATACAATTATACAATCTTAAACACACTATAAAAAATAATATTAACAAAAAAATTATAACTTAAAATTTAAACTTTTTAGTTACACAAATATCGACATGTGGTGTACCGTGGAGTAAAATCCAACTTTATTACAAATCAAATACAATCAATCATAAGATTATAAACAAAAAAAATTTCTTATCAAATATATACAACACAAATAATCAAATTATAAAAAAAAAACAAAAACAAAAATTTATTTATCCCGCGGGTCATATTCTATGATACTGGACCAAATACATTTGGTACTGAGAAAACAAAACCCAATATAGCTCACGTAAAAACTTTAACATAATACAACTTTTTTTTTTTGCTCAATGATACAATGCAATTATGAATACCTAATTGAACCAAATAAATTGTTAATCTCATATAAACAAGAATACAATTCTAATGCAACTAAAAACATTTTATATACAATACAATATTCTCTCCTTCTTTATTACCAAGTCATGTTTGTCAACCAAGTTAAGATTATACAACATTTAATTCCTATAATAAAATAATCCAATATGATATAGAATATAGATTTAAAATTTATTACTATATTAATATTTAGTTCTACAAACAAAATATACAACCGTCGTCAAATGAAATATACAACATTATATCCAAATAGTAATAAAAATAAAATATTATGTGGCATCACTTTTATACTCTACTATTATACTATACTAGGACTCAGGAATCCCGCGATGTCGCGGGGAAATATATTTCAAAAATCATTAAAAAATATCAAACGAAAAAATCATAATGAATTGTAATAATTTTGAATTTTTTTAATAACAAATCAATATATATTTTACAAAAATTATGATAAATAAAACCCTCACAAGCATTTATTAAGTATATTAATATTAGAAAAACAATAATTTGTAACTAAAAAACTATTCCCAAGTGCAAAAAGCATAAACTAATAAACCAAATATTACAATGGTTTGATAAATAAGCCAAAACGTTCAACGTCAAATAAACCAAATGCTATTGTGTTAAAGTAAACGGTAACAATAATTCATTTAAATATATTTTAGTATTTAAATATTTTTTAAAAATATGACGAACTTATCCGAGAAACGCAACCGTAGATATCAAATATTCCAAAAACTGCAACGGTTCGTCAATTATACCAAATGTTGCAATAGTTCATCAAATATACTAAAGATAACAATGGTTAGTAACAAAAGTTGAAACAGTTTAACCAAAAGTTTAACCAAAAGTTGCAATAATTCGTCAAATAATCCAAATGTTGAACCGGTTCAATTAAATAGTTACAATCTCATTTAAATACATTTTAGTAATTAAAAATTAAGAATTAAAATAATAATTTATGAAAAGTTACACCGAGAAACGCGGCGGTAGATAATTAAATGTTATAGCTATTTATAAAATAAACTAAAAATTGCAATTGTTCGTGAAATAAACTAAATATATAAACCAAATGTTGCAATTGTTCGTAAAATAAACTAAATATTGCAATGATTCGAATAAGCGGTTTCAACTGTTTATGAAAAGTTACAATAAAAACGCAACCGTAGAAAACATTCAGAATGCAATTTATAAAAAAAAACATAACCGTAAAATTGTTCGTAAAATAAACTAAATATTGCAATGATTCGAATAAGCGGTTTCAACTGTTTATGAAAAGTTACAATAAAAAACGCAACCGTAGAAAACATTCAGAATGCAATTTATAAAAAAAAACATAACCGTAAAATATATATTTTAATTAATAAAAACATTAACGAAAAGTTGCGATAAAAAAAACGCAACCGTTCAGTGCAAATGGTATTTATTAGATTGCTATTATATATAGATTATTACTTTTTTCTTCAAAAAAAAATATACAATTTGATTCATACAAACTATTTAATCCCGTGCTATATCATGATCTAGTAAGCGCTTTATTTTTGTAAAAGCTTGAGTTGATAATCTATTAGAGGTAAATGGTAAATTTCGACATAAAAAAAGGCAATTATCAAAGATTCTCTACAAACAAAACCAACACATAACCTATCTAAAAAATCTGAAATCCACACAGAAACATCTGAAATTATCTGAAATTATCTTAAATCCTCAGTAGTTTCATAATTCCTATCACAATCACAAGGAGTTTCTGACATCCTATGTATGATGAAATCCTCCAAGTCTCTATTAAGAAATAGTAATTTCATTTTCACAAAGAGTTTCATTTACAAAATACTCATTTCTACCCTCTATTGTTGTGACTATACACAGTTTCTTCTTTTAGTGGGTTTCATATTTCCTCAAAAATCCTATATATTGTCGAGAATGTTAATCTCGACATCTCTTTACATCTGCTTGCTGTCATTTTTTTCCATCTAAAACTACTACTACGGTCATTTGCTCCTTAGAGTTCTCCAGGTTCCTTAGCTTCGCCACCTTGTTCTGGGGTGTTCTTGTTTCCTTCACTTGTTGAACTGAGCCTCTGTCTTTTACGCTTCTCTTGCTCATCTTCGTCATCCATATAATCACCCGAACCTCCAGACCTCTTGCTATATGATTAATAGAAAGCACAAAGCAAATCCATTAACTATAGTTGTTGCTTATGATGAATTTCTATCGAGAGAGACCCGAAAGAAATACCTCGGAGAAGCAGAACTTGCAGCTGTGACATCGGGATTATAGGGCTCATCTTCTTCCATCTGTGTACTAGGAGTAGAACTTGCAGCTGCGACATCGGAATTATGGGGCTCAGCTTCTTCCATCTGTGGACAGGAAGCAGAAGGTGACTTTTCTTCATCCAGAGCACGCCCATCTTGTCTCATATCAGATTGATCATCAGTGGAGCTCTTTGGTCCCTTCCTTTCTAAGCACTGAAGACAACATTGACACACATTGTTAAACAAAGAATGTGTAGGAAAACTTTTCAAAGTAGAAGTTAGATCGAAGAATGATACCTTCTCATATTTTGTTTTAAGATCCTGGAGGGAAGGCAGGTGCTCAAATGGAGCTAACTGGTCCCAAAATGTATCAACTACGTATTTGACCAACACTGCATTTTTCTGCACACAGAACAGTAATATGTACATAGGAACACCCCTAAGAAACAGATGAAGAAAAGGATGAAAAATAGGAACCTTGCGTATGTGCTCAAGAAGCTCCAAGACAGCAGAAGTCAGGAGGTTGTCCTGGTGACCATCAGCAACAAAAACATCTATAATCGGTTTCAGCATGTTGTTCTCAACAATGTAACTCTGGACATTATCATCCTGAAATAGAAGACTATTTTAGAAATTGCATAACATACCTAATGACTTATTGTCATCCGAGAACCTTTTCTAGCCATAATAGAATCAATATTCATGTTAATGCAAGAGAAAAAATATCAGTTTTCTATAATATGACATGCGACACTGAACTGCAACCTTACCAGAGTAATTTTATGTGATGACTTTGAGTACACGTGTTCACAAGAATCTTGAACTACCATCAAAATTATTAATTTTTAAATACAAAAGACCTCTGAGCCTAAATTTTCAACTAATTCAGATAACCAATAGTTGTCTTATTAATTTCATTCTCAAGAGAGAATGCACAGATGAGTCTATAAGAAAAAAAGCTGATCGAAGACTATTTACATGGACAGAGAGGAGACTGCGGACAAATCGAACAGCCGCAGCCACTAGGGGTTTTTCCTTTCTTCGTGTAAGAAGCAAAACCTTTTCTGTCAAATTGTTATGGAGAAAACTGCATGTAGCAGACAAGAGAAGAAAATGCACAAGAATATTAGACGGCTAGTGATACTAAAACAGAAATAATGTGATAATCATCATAAAGGTTACTTTGTCCTGAATGGATCCAGTTGAACGCAAGAGCACAGCAATTGACAAATGTGCAATAGGACTTCCGGCTTTGCCCCACGATGGCTGCCAACTCTTACGAATGCACCTTCAGATGTATCGCCAGGTCTTTCAGGACATGAGGCCATTATTAAATCAACTAATTCAGGTAGATGCTTCTCACAGAAAGTATCCAAAATCATCCCTTGCTGCAAAATTGAAAAAATTATCAAAGAATTTTGAATAGAAATCAAGATGTATTGTAGTTAAAAAAAAAAAAGGAGAATTACGGGTCTTATACTCAACATTCTATTAGATATGTATCGAAGAACTATCATTACAAGACAAACAAAAACTAACTCTGTGGACTTCAGAAAAACAATTTTTAAAAATTTCTTCTGCTAATTGATGCGTGCAACTATAACCAATCAGAACAGAAATGCGAAGTCAGGAGAAAAATAGCAGCGTGTTCTTGATGAGCTTGTTTGACTATGACTTTTTCATATAAAAAGAGGAGAATACCATCTTCTTCTGCTTATCAGAGAATTGTACATTTTGAGCTCCACGAAATTCCAATACATTTTGAATAATGTCCACAAACAGCGATTCCATCTTATCACCAAAATCTTCCATCATTCTCTTAACCTATTGCACATCACGAAAACCAATAATCACTCCATTCTAATATAGAAAGATACAGGAACAGCCTCGTAGCTAAAAAGAAAAACAATCCAAAAGAGAACAAGAGGTAAGGAAATTATACCAAGAGACCAAGGAGGGGAGTTTCCGGTCGAACAACATAAGAGCATAAGAGCATAAGAGAATCTTGAGCCAACACAATACTAAGAATTTCGGCCCTGCACCCATCAGACAATAATTATCTTGAGTATATAACTAGAAAATTATGTATTTTTTTTTTTTCTGAAGAACCCATCAGATGAGACTGAGAGCATAAGACAATAATAACTAAAAATTCACGACCAATCTATCATATACCCCATTAATATGAGTTTCTTATCTGGACTCTTCAAGATTTCTGCAATGATGTCAAAAAGACCGTCACTGATAAGTTCCCTACAAGACAAGTAAATAGACAAGCACCATCACGTAAGATACAGAAATTGACAACACTCTCAACTGCACTGAATTGATAATCCACAAATGATAATGCTACAAAACCATCACTGCTGTCCCCAAAATTCACAAATGAATCATGATCCATTTCAGAAGACTAATTCTCAGTACCAATAGAATTAGTTTCTGAAAAGTACATACCTCAAGACCGATACCTTCTTCGTGCTCTTGCATAAACTACAAAATTCGTGCAAGAAGTGCACCTATTTTTTGGAGAATAAAAACACATCAGTCTAACTCACCCAAGAAACAATATGGTTTTGGCGAAGATATATTGTATGCATCTACACAAGATTAGCTCTAGTTTCTTGACAGAGACATCACTACTGTCCCCAAAAATCTCTAAATTAAGCTGAATTCCCTTCATTGAATTTTGACTACGGCCAATGCCTCAATATCTGAATAGGCGTACAGACACAAATGATTGGAACTCTTTCATCTAAGAACCTTAATGACAGGACCCTGCCCAAAATCAGAGAATCTTACCGGCAGAACCTATACATGGATTTCAACTAAAATAACTATTTTCATACATTACTCCATGAATAACAAAAAGACCATATTCTAAAGAAAATGATGGATGCATCATGAAGAGGAAATACCAAATTATTCCTTGATTCGTCAGATGTAGAAGGTGACCGTAACCGTGCAAATAACTCTTGGATGTCATCCTTCAGCAGTGTAACAATCTGCAGAACAGTCATTAATAAAGCAACATATGGCGTGCATTCAATGCGTTAAGTTTGAGATTGTTTATTTGGATGACTTACAGAAGCATTGTTTGCATCGATTACTGAATCTAGGTTTGTGGTTGTAGCAGCATCTACTACATTCGTCAAAACATCCTGCAAAGAATTGAGAAAAAGGTGAGACCAAAAACCACAGAAAAATAAATCAGTAAAATGTTTTCAGGAGAGTTCACGGGATTGAACCTTCAGAAAACCAATTCTGTATGTTTGGTGTATCTTCGACAGAACCAGGGCATTCTTAATTGGTATAGCCTGCAAACAATAGTGGGGTTTAATAACAATGTTTTCAAGTTAGAACTATTTCCACAAAAATGCTACAGAATGTGTCACCAGTATTTCTTATTGAAATAATGTGTTCCCTAAGCTCAGTTTGTGCTAACTGGACCAGAATTACATGGAATCATGAACACTCGAGAATATTATATTACCTCCTTAAAAACAGCATGCTCCCTCAGCATAGTCTGGTGATGTTGAGACTGGGGAACATCGGGATCATCTGTGAGGAGAAACAAAAAACGCAGCATTCTTTATGAAGAAGGCAAGAAAAAAAATGCATACATTGGCCTATAACATTTGCGGTTCCAAGTGCACACCCTAATAACATGTTAATTAGAGAAGATAGCAAGGAACAGTCCACCAAAGAGCACGTAAACTCTTCACTCTTCACGGTGAGAAGTTCTCAGTACAAGTCCACATGACATAATTAAACGCTCACATCTATCCCATAGATACAACACAGCTACATCCTACTGGTCATGCCCTTCGTCGTCACTGAAAGTTATAATGATCAACATTCGACCAAAGTCTTGAAGCTTACACTCAAGGCACCCGATAATTTTCATGAACAGTTGATCCCCTACGATAATCTCCAGGATCTGAGAACTGTTGAGCGAAACTGCAGAAGAATAAAAACGGGAAATGCTGCTTATTACATCAAATTTAGAAGCTTGAGTAAGGAAAAATGATGTTTAGATGTATGCGATTACTAACTGATTCCTTTGACAATTTTGAATATCATGTGAAGGTCAGCAACATCTTTCACGTTATCACATGAATCAAATACATCCATCAATTTCTGAAAGAAAGTAGCCTGCATCAGGTATCAGGAAAAAAAGTAGGTTTCAGTGTCAGTTCCTTGAAAAAATTAACAAGAATAATTACAGCAGTATCAAAAAAAAAAATGTTTTGAAAGCATTAACAAGAATAATTACAGCAGTACCAAAAAAGCTCAGTTAACAAAACCTGTGCTTGGTAAAAGTATGCCCAGGGAGAAAGAAATTAAGGTATTACATTAAAAGAATGAATACTCATTTCTTTCATACAAAAAGAAACAGTAGAACTTTGGAATGCACTTAATACTTACATCCTTCAGAATAAGTTCGGTTAGTCGCATCTGATCTGTGATGCAATTTTCAGTAACAACCTGCAGGGAATAATGAAACAAATACATTAAGTCCTCGACAAAATAGAGACCTAGAATGCAAAATCAGGACAACGCTTAACACAAGAAAATTTCAACATATTAATGCATTGAGAGCGTAAATAAAGATGAGAACAAACAACAGCATTTCTGGGAGATACAAATTATCAAAAGAAACTTTGAAAAATCGATAGTACTCCAGACGATGAAAAGACAATGAGAGTAATAAAAAGGCGGCATCCAAAAGTTGCAATTATCAACACAAAGGAGACATGTAAATAAGGGTAGAGCTCCAAGCTAATCACAAGCAAAGAATGTACAAGATCATTATTATCTTTGAACCTTGAGTAGTAGGGGAAGATTAGAACGGTTGACATCAGGAAGCTCCTTCAACTCACTGATCACATTGTGAAACGCTTCGCCTGCTCAAGCAAAGATGATTATGTTGTCAAATACAAAATTTGTGACCATTACATAGAAAACAATGCTTGGAAAGCGATCAAAAGTTCCAATCATCATGGACGTCCTAAAACAAAAAGGTATTCAAATACAACATTCATGACTACTATAAAAAAAATTAATGCTAGTAATTGATCAAAAGTTTCATCTTCATAAAAGTTCTGAAACAAATTATTTCCTTTCAGATATTCTAAAGTCCAACTGTTCACAGGTGGGAATTGAGCAATTGGCCACAGAAATCTGAATCTATCTAGGTAAACTCAAACTCAGTCGGTCAGTCCTATGACACATTGAACAGACCATATATACATATAATAATAAGAAAATGAAAAAGCATGTATCAAATACAAGCAGACTGATATGAAAGTTTGACAACTACTCAAAACTTTTAAAATTTATTTGGTCAGGAAAAATTTCTTACTGTGCAGAGAATCGAAATGTAGAATTCGTTGCATACTGGATATTTGATTCCTGCATAGGATGAAGCACCATTTTTGTAGTCAGTAGAATGATCCGTAAAATGGAAGCTGCTCTAAAAGAAGACAATAGATATTTTTTTGTCACTCACCATACGAACGTGCATCCCGCAGTCTCTTGAAAGCTCAAAGCCAATTGTGCTGAGTGTTTTGGTTCACTCCATGAGATAATTGAGTCTGTACATTGATACAGATACCACTTATGTAAACTGAAGATACAATAGTTAATAAAACCACAACACACAAAGGTTACCTTCTTGCTGCTTGTAGATATTCTCAGAGCTGATGTTGTGTACAAGCAATGTCGAATTATCATCTTCATCAATTACATAAAGACCGAAATCTCCCGATCGCTGCATGTTTTAGCGTTTCCATTTAGCTACAAGTTATTTCCAGAATGCGCACTGGAGAATTTTTGGCCGCAGGAGGGATCCAAGAACTAGAACAAACCTCCATATAATCCATAGTAACGTGTCCAGTTCCTCGATCATCCCATTGACCATCTTCATTCAAACGATAAACCTTCACTCTCTGAACAACAATATTGACAAGCATGAGATACAACAGTGTATGGAGAATATAACTATTGCAAGTAAATGATCACAAAATCCAAGTAAATGAATCTTATAGATCTTCACAATGCACATAGTATCCCATCTTTGAGATCCTCTAAAAACCTAGTAACGATTCGCGAGCACTCAAATTCTCAATTGACTCGCAATTGAACCAAGAAAGACAAATACATTTACTAGTTACGATTCGCGAGCACTGAAATTCTCAGTTACATCTTCGCGCAGACTAACGAACAAGAAGATAAGCAACTAAGCAAAGATGGAGCTAAGAGACACACCTGCATTGAATTGGTGTTTCTCCGAGTGGCCATAGCTAACTATCACCTCCGTAGATACCCGAATCGATCCGGTAAAGTCAGTTCGGTGGTCGGAGGGAGCGAAATTTAGGGTTCTTGGAAGAAGAAGAAGAGATAGAGAAGTAGATAGAGGCGGGAGATTTGAAGTTTTCTTGAGGTTGAAGAGAAATCAACAGAAACTCGAAACCGCCATTAACGTAGCACCAAGAAACCTTGACATTCTTCTCTCTCTTCTCTCTCTTTTCTCTCTGTGTGTTTTCTGTTATTTTTGCTGCGCACAAAGCTTTTCTTTGACTGTAGAAGAAAAAGAAAAACAAAATTAAGCCAAAGAAAATAAAGAGAGATTTATGCATCGAATTTTAAATCCGTCATATTTAAAATATAACTAATCTCTCGTTTCGTGTATTTTGTCTGCGCAATTAAGAAATAATTAAAAAGAGAACCTTATTATTAATTAGTTAAAGTATATTTGTTGGGTTGAACAAGCCTACGTTAATTATTTAATTGCTTCAGAAATCAGAAATGGTTTAAAATCGTTCGGTCAAAAATATTTTCCGATCCCCTATAAGAATATGAATGATGAAGCATCACTTTACCTATTGGGCTTTACATTTAAATTATTGGGCTTTCTTTTCGTTTGGGCTTTTGCTCGTGTTGTTTATGTGTAGGAGAGGTGCACAAAATTGCACTATGTTTCGTTTGGAGAATATTAGTACAAGTACATGCACTAAAAGTCTAAAACTGAATTGTTGCATGCATTTTGAGCCTTTTTCTCCCTAGAACTTGAAGAGCTCTCCCTTATCTCTAGAACACCGGGCTCCTCTTTCTCTCCTTTGAAGATTTTCATCAATCTTCGAAGGAGAACCACCAACAACCCGCGTACTTTTGAAGTCTGTATATTGCTCGCAAGTATGCTCAAATTGTGGCAAACTTGCGTCTATACTTTTCGCTTTCTTAATTGTAGTTGTCTTCTCATTTTTATCAGTTATGTGGTGTTTTTTTAATTGTTTGGATTTTTAACCCTACTTTTTTAATTGTTGCGTTGTAATTTTTTAAAATTTTATTTAATAAATCCGGAGATTTTCTCCCGGTGATTCACCAAAAAAAAAAAAAAACTGGCAAAAAGGCACATAAATTAAATACTATGACTAAGGATTAAGAACAAAACAAAACAAATTGTGATTTAAAATTATTGCTAGAATAGTTTACCAAAACGCTCTTGATCTAATAACCTCGTCATGTTTTGATCCTCTCTTTTTGAAAACTTTTACAATTTACTTTAGCTTTTTCTATTGGTTAACTAACTACTTTTTTTCTTAATGTGTTATTAATTGTTCTTGATAACTTATAGTAATAATCTTGAAACATATCATATCGAGCATTAATTTCAAGCGTGTGACGTATCGTGTAAAAGGATATAACTTATTGAGATTAGTATCCTCTTTTGTTGAAATTTTTTACAATTTACTTTAAGCTTTTTTATTGTTTAACTACTTTAGCTTTTCTTAATTAGTGTTGATTTATTAAGTGTTCTTTATAACTTATAATAGTCTTGAAATATATCATATGGACTTATGGAGCATTAATTTCAAACTTGTGACGTATCGTGTATAACAATATAACTTAAGATCGGATTTGTGTGATAGCATGACACTGCAACTGATGATGTTACCCAGAAGGCAAAATTTTTAGAAGTCTTATGGAATGGATCAAATTTAGATTTGTTATCAAATTAGGCTCGTTTCGGGCCCAGCCTTGGCCTTATCTCTTCTGTTTTTCTATTTTTTTTGTCTTACACAATTGTATTAAATTATAACTTCCAGCTTGCTAATATAGAAATTAAAGTGAGAAAAAGACATTACTTTATAGATATGTCTGATTAAAAGACAAGGTAGAACAATTTTTTTTCTTGATTTGTATTACAATTTTCATTGTACTGGTCCTATTTATAGAGACCAAAGTTATTTTGTTACATAAACTAAACCCATGACGTGATTTTTATAATTCAAATTTTTCCAAAAGTTATAAAAAAAAAATTCTAAAATTTTGGATACATGCATATAGAAAATATGATTAGTTGAGATGAGTATTTGTGGATAGAGTGTGATACAATCCAAAGAAAGGAATTGAGTCGTTAAGATAGAGATAGAGCTGTCTATTATCATTGGAAGGTTGGAAACAATAAGACGCATTCTTGCATCAAAGTCACGTTACGTTGCCAATTTAATGAACACAATTTTTTATAATAATAATAATAATAATATTGAAGATGTATATATATATATATAGTTTATATACTATAAGTGGTGATAGCTCACTTGATTTCAAAAATTATTGAGTCTTTATTTTTAGATTCGAATCTCCATTAGAAAAGAAAAAAGATGATTTATGCTTTAATAAGTTTTATCAAAATCAACGGAAGGTCCGGTTCTATGCATGTGTCGGAGGTGCTCATGCAGAAGATCCATCTAATTTTTTTTATATAACTAAATTTGTTAAAATTAAGGTTCAAATTTTTTTAATTAAAAAAAAAAAGAAATAAGAGCCAATTATTTTTTCGAGCTCAGTGTCTTTAATTTTTCTGAGCCAGCCTGATCAACGGTTAACCTCATGTCAAGGAAATTATGGACTAAAGATCCATAAATGATTTGTGAACAAATAAAAATATAGAGCATATCTATGAATGTATAAGTACAGGGTGCATGCACATATATATGATCTATGAATATGGATACATGGAGACAGATATTGTTAGTTGGCAATGCCTCCAAGCAAAACCACAAACCTTTTTTTATCCAAAATTATCTTTCTTTTTTTCTGTTATATATTGAGATTCCCATATATATCATCATAAATTTCTTCCAACTTGTATAAATTTGTCTAGAGATATAGCCGTTTATCATTAATGCGATTGTTTTGTTTATTATATCCACCACATCTATATCATATATAAGATGCATCAATTATTCGGATTGAGATTCGAAGTAATGATTTTTGTAATAATTAAATAACCGATTGAATTATCGGTTTCGAGGATGATTAGATGCGATCTCTTCATATAAAATTTGTAATGATTCTATATTTGACTATAATCTTGTTCAGATCTATTCAACACAATTTGACTTGTTAGTATAAATTTTAAAATATTTTTCTTTCTACATGTTGTTTAGTCTAATTAAAAAAGGAAAAAAAAAAAACATACGATCATCGATGACCCCAAGATGCAGATAAATTAGATATGCATGATTATGTCTTTTTCATTACTATTTTTGTAAGAAATTATTTGTTTGTGTGGATTGACACGAATTGACCTGGATTGCGAGGCTGACGTGGCACAGTAATGTCGTAATCAATTTCGTAGAAGAACGTTAACGGAAACGGACATATCGAATCATATGAATGTCTCTTTTATTTTATTTTTCATAATTTTTCCAAAAACATTTATTTTACTTTTTTTTTTACATATAATTCCGACCCCTCACATCACCCAATAACCAACTTATATACACATATAGATGTACTCATTTATACGTACACGCATACTGCATACAAAATTTCTGCTTTGTTATAAGTTACGTTATAACTGTATTGTTTGATTGGTAGAAATGTACGTTTATTTCTTTTCAATTTTTAATGTACTCGTAGGATACTAGGATGAGCACATATTTTGGCCCCCAAAAAAAAAGTTTACAAACCAGTTTTAGATAGAACATTAAAATGTAAAGGAATATAAGCGGATAACATAAAGAAAAAAAAAGTAACATTTGTAGATAACAGAGAGTTTATTTTTTTTATAGTCCATTCAGTAATTAGTATTTTCATGAAATTGCTTATACATGAGTTGTTACTGTTTACAAATGAAAAACTATTATTGGTGGGTAATATTATTCATTACAATTTCGTTTGTGATGCAAAACACATTTATTATTTCAAATTTTTTGTAGTTCTAGAAACTTTGGCATGGAATTGTTTAGAAAATCTATTATTTCAGAAATTTAAGCATAGGTGGAAATGTTTTTGGTGATATAAATATGTTTCAAGTAACAAAGAGATTAGTTCTAGAAACTTTGGCATGGAATTGTTACTTGAAACAAATGTTTTTTTAGTTCTAGAAACTTTGGCATAGAATTGTTTAGAAAATATATTATTTCAGAAATTTAAGCATAGGTGGAAATGTTTTTGGTGATATAAATATGTTTCAAGTAACAAAGAGATTTTAATTTTGAATTTTATCATGTTTTCTGAAATTATGGAAACTTTCCCAGGTTTTTAGGAATTTTAACGTGTTCATCATAAATAAACACAGTTCATTTCTTCATTTGAATGGTAAATATTTTTTATATGAAAAATTCAAAGTCTAATGCAAACATTATCAATCTTAACAAACGTCTTAAATATTTTTGCATTTCGTAAAACTTCCATCAAAAAATTTACCATAAATTTGTAATCCCAAACTTGTCTCACTCATCATACATGCAAAAAATATTCGCTTACAAGGTAAATTTCAATAAAGAAATGTGAATATAAGAGCACCTCCATTCGTAGAAATGGTAGAGCGTTTCTCAAAAAGTAAAAATAATAATATTTTAATTTTTTTTAACAATTGAACCAATAGTTTAATGACACATACTTAGATAAGTCTCTTAACAAGAGACGTTTTTCTTCTATTTCCTATGTTTTCTCTTTTACATTATTATTTTAATAATTAATTTCTAAATTAGAAACGCCCGATAGAGATGCTCTAAAGGTATTTTATCGATTGTTTTGGAAAAAATTTAGTTTCTAGTTTCTACTAATTAACACGATAACAAAAACCCGCTTTAGCATATTTCTTTTCAAACATGTTACTTCTTATAATTTTTCTTCCATGTATAAATAAATCAAGTAGCTAAAACAATAAAAAAATGTGCTTGCATCTATAAGAAAATAAACCTTGAATTATATCATATAACTTAAAATTATGTTTGAATAATTAGTAATTGATTTTTATATCACTATACTTGATCTGAAGCTGCCATGTAAATAATACCCAATACTTTGCACGACGTTTGAATGGAAGACATTGAAAAAGAATTAGTATATATACTTTGATTTTTATATTATTTTTTTGCTTATTATATTAACAAGCATTAATTGCTTAATCATTTTGTTATTGTAAGATATTAAACTATGTTAGCTCCTTTCATGAGTTATTACCGGCACATGTTCTTTTAGATACTTGCTTACATATTTTAATATATTCTCCATCATTTCATCTTTATGGGTTCTTCTTTACTAGAAACATTGATATAGTTCAACTATTATTTCTTTAGAGTTTTCTAATCCGGATTATTTGTTATGGCCATTCAAATTCGAAATTGTGTTAGTTCATTTTTACGTTTAAAAACAGAGAATAATAAATAAATAAATTCAAATTCATGATTTGTATATAGACAGACAAAAAGTATTAACTGCTACTTCTGGAACAAAAGTATAAATTAAGGGTCACGAGTGAGTGTTTCGTTTGCCCTCACGTGTCTGTAAAACTTGGTTTGGTTGCTCAGACCACTTGTGAACCGTACAGTTAAAAATCATTCCACCAATCCTATTTCAGATTCCTATTTTACGTTATATACACTCATAAGTCGATTTTCTTTTCTTCTGTAGCTTTATGGTTTGGCTTTTGTTTGTATCAACCTTACCAAGCTTGTGTAATTTGTTCTTTTGTCTTAATTAGGTGCATGTAGAACTTTGGTTCTAAATATTTTAGATGCAAAAAATGATATACGAATATGAGAGAAGTACAAACCATTTGTCTCCATGTACTTATCAGAGTCTATACGAACGAGATAATAACGTCCATATGGTATGCTTTGTTAATATTTCATTAGCAAAAACAAGTTTATATCAAAATAGTTTATATTTTTAAAAACTATATAGAACCTTTTCTTAATGGAAAATTGATCATATGATATAATTAAAGTTTTACGTGATACATAAGAACCATTCAAATTCAACTTTTTTGAAAGAAAAAAAATTAAACATAATTTCGATATAAAAAGTGCTCATATTATTACCCTTTAGAATGTTCCCATTAGAAGGTTTGTTAGAAAAATCGTTATAACACAACTGTTATGTACATTCTCGTATTATCATGTGAGTCGATTAAGCTCTTTATTATGTGTTATTGATTTCAAGAGAGTCGATACAATATATATAGATTAATTTATGTTTAACCTAATTTGTTAGAAAATAGATAAACATGAATAAGTAATTATTTTGAATCTCTTAATCCTTATCATAATAGGATTTCTAGAATATTTTTCAGCTTGGACTTCACAGATTCACTTCATAAATAGACTTTGACGGTACATAATAGTTAATCCGCAAGATCCGCAAGATATACATCTTACTCCCTTAGATACCTCCGATATTAATGTTATCTATTACTATTTCATCATCTCTTGTTGTTGTCTTTTACCGTTAAAAAAACTCTTCCAGTCTTAAGTGATCAACCATATCCGATATTTCGATTGTTGGTACAATAGGAATTAGGAAACAACTAACAATTTGTTACACATTGATTTAAATTTCTGTCTAAATCTCGGTTTTACTAAACTGATATGAATTGACTAGTAATTAACTAACTATTATTTTGTCGTTAACAGTCAAACTGTTGTCAATGAGAGAATGGTAGTCATTCGTTTTCAACAAATAAATGAGAAGCTGTTAGAAAGAATCAAGTCTTTATATTTACATAAAGTTTCGTATCCAATATACCTCGAACGAAAATGTCCTTAATTAATGAAATAAAAATAATTACAAGCATCTTTATATAATATATACTTCGTTCTAGTGTTCTCATTAGAGAAGCAATATTTGGTTGTATTAGAGCACAAGTATATAATCGAATAAACGAAAATGAGCGTCGTTATGTTATGGGTCATTTATTTTAATAATTGATAAATGTCTAACAATAAGCTGATCTGTTGGAAACTATACTAATAAAGAGACCAACAAATCAAATAACAATTCGGAAAAGAAATAAAGAAGTGTGGGCAACATGACTAGATGCTTATTGGCCTATTTGGTGGAGAGTCGATCGATACTCGAGACCCGTGACAACCTTCTCTCTCTGTCTCACAGCTTTATTAGGTCTTACGTTTCATTTAAATTTTTTATTTATCTGTGTTTTACTAAATGTGTAATTGTTTCTTATATATGTTATGATAGAATAAATAATTCTTCTTCTTTCTGTTTATTTATTTGCTTCTAGTGGATCATCGCCTCGTCTGACCACGACCTTGTTCGCGTGGTTTGTTCCCATGCCTATGCATCTAATCATATGTAAATAAATTTACTTTTCTTTCATAATAAAGAGGACTGAAATTAAGAATAATCTTCAAACAATATCTGCAAAAACGTGTATTTTTTGCCATTTGAAACGTTTATAATTATCATTCATGACTAAAAATATAATTGGATAACTCCATTAGAAATCTTTCAAATACTAAACGGACATGAATCGGTTTCATTTGTAAATAATCTTACATGCCACCAAAACTAATTTTTAAATCCCACCAACTAAATATTTATATCGAGATTATATGAAACTTTTGATTACAAAACATTGATAGTTTACCCCCAAGGCCCCAAATGTTTTGTATAATTAAAATTGTTTTGAGAATTATAATTTATCTAGACAAATATTTTATGTCAAAACTAACAAAAATTGAAGTAGTTTGTTAGCTGTATAATGGCATGCAAAGAGTGAGTTAAGATTTGACTAAATGTATGTTTGTAATTTGTAACACTAAATCCATTAAAAAAATTAAAATGAGCTAAGTTTTAATATATTTTTAACTAGCGTTAGGGATTATGCGGATGTAGTGGCGGCGGTGGGGAACGAGTCCAAGCATGGACATGACTGGAGGCTACGGTAGGTGGTTTCAACTTTCAACTTTCAACAATTATAATTAACAACAAATGAGTCTTTAACGTTGAAAAAGTTGAACAGGTTAATTGACGTGTTGATTAGTTGTTATATATTATGTTATTATAGGAGATTAAAATGAGACGTTGTGCGGGTTCAAAGAATCATCATCTCACTTGTATTGCTTTAGTGTAAATATTGACAAATGTATAATCACTGAGAAAACGTAAAAATAATGTTGAAGAAAAGAAAACCAAACTGACGCTTTTGAAAAAGGGAAAACAAACTATTAAATGTTTTTCAACAATTTTATTTTATTTTTTCTTTTGAGATATCTCATTTGCTTAACTTGTCCAACTAGATTGTTTTATCTTTATCTTATTTTATGTTCATAACAAGAGTCTCTTATCCTTTGTCATCAATTTTCGCCGAAGACTTCTCTATAAATACCACCTTCACGTTCTATCACATGAAAACTAAAAAACACAAACATCACATGTATACAAACATATAGTTACAAACACACATACACAAAACACAGATATAAACATGTCTTGTAATAATAAATCATTATTAATCGGCAACAAAGTCGTCGTTATACTTGTATTCCTCTTATGTTTGGTTCACTCGTCAGAGTCACTTCGGCCACTCTTTGCATGCGACCCGGCAAACGGGTTAACCCGGACGCTCCGGTTCTGTCGGGTCAATGTACCGATCCATGTGAGAGTTCAAGATTTGATCGGAAGGCTCACGTTGCAGGAGAAGATCCGCAACCTCGTCAACAATGCTGCCGCCGTGCCACGCCTTGGTATTGGAGGATATGAGTGGTGGTCCGAGGCTCTCCACGGCGTTTCCGACGTCGGTCCTGGCTCTAAGTTCGGTGGTGCTTTTCCCGGCGCCACCAGCTTCCCTCAGGTCATAACTACCGCGGCTTCTTTCAACCAGTCTCTATGGGAAGAGATCGGACGGGTGAGGATAATTTACGAATATTACTTTTTATATACATTTAAAAAAAATAAAAAATAAGAGACTACTAAATTTTATGATATCTCTACGTGAAAAAACGACATCGACATCGTAGCGGTCATACACTAGCGTTTGATTAGTGGGACGTTCTATATTTATATTTTTAATATATAAATCTTGAAAAATATAATTCACTTGAATTTTATCTGACTACGACATGAGTCTATCGAATAAGTCAGAAAGAGTTAGTAAAAATCCAAATAACGATATATTTTCCTTTAGACATCAAATCCAAAACCAATATATAAATTTATGGGTTAAACCAAACTTTGATTTTATAAATTTTATGATATATTACGTGTATATATATATATATAATTTTTTTTGTCAATCAATGACGTACATATATAAATTAATATGATGATGGGCAAGCTAGCTATAACCAGTGAATATAAAAAATAATATTTTTTAACATATGGTTTATATATGAGAATATTTATATCTTTCAACAAAAGCAAAGGTGTGTGGAGAATATCTTAAAATTGACATGATTTAAAATGAATAAAAGGTGGTGTCTGATGAGGCAAGAGCTATGTACAATGGAGGCGTGGCCGGTCTGACATATTGGAGTCCAAATGTGAATATATTGAGGGACCCACGGTGGGGCAGAGGTCAAGAAACTCCCGGAGAAGACCCTATCGTCGCTGCAAAATACGCCGCCAGCTATGTCCGGGGACTTCAAGGCACCGCCGCCGGAAACCGCCTTAAAGTCGCCGCATGTTGCAAACATTACACTGCTTATGATCTTGATAATTGGAATGGCGTCGACCGTTTCCACTTCAACGCTAAGGTAATATTATTCACCTTAATAACTATTATATTTGTGTGTTTTGAACTTTATATTTCCACCATTCATTTTGATGCTAAACTTCTTTTTGTTTGGTTTAAAAATGCTAAAACTCTTTAAAATTTAGATATTCGACATTATATATTTATAATTTTTGTGAAAATAAGAGAACCCGTGAGTCACTTTTTTCTTACAATTTAAGTGGTTCGTGATTTTAAATAAATTTCAAATTTCATTTTCGTTATCAAGAAAGAATAAAACAAAATACTTAAATTTTTTGCTTAAACATATAAATATACTTGCTCGAATTAGAAAGCTCTACTTTATGTCGTTTTCTATTATTTATTACTCCACGTAACGAATTGGATGTGACTGAATATGCGTTTTCTTGTTAATAAGGCCTTTCGTCTTTTATCTTGATTCATGACTTCATTCGTTAAATCCAGAAAATAGCTTATCAAGATATATCTCAATCGTTAGTCATTAGTTATTTATAGTTCCGTAGAATATGCGTCACTTCGTAATCTTGCAAAAGCCTTTTTTCATCCGACTCAATTGAAATTCCTTGTATGAGTAAAATATGTATAGATTTGTATGCATGTCACAGTCAGATACAAACAAAACATTTGCCTAATACATATAACAGCTAATTAAGCCAATAGACAGCGTGACTTAGTGATGTGTCATATGCATAGTCTCATGTAATATTGGTGGAGAATCTTATCCTTATTGGTTCATGTGGACCAACTTGGCCCAAGCTCCTTGCCTTTTATCTTGTTCTTCCATATACGTTAAATTAAATTATAATAAATAAAAAGATTCTTTCCTCATGCATAAATAATTCTAAACGAAAACTCATGAATGGTGTATAATTCGAGATTAAAATATGCTTTTATTAATATAGAGATAGCTTAATAGGTGCATGTTCGGTCCTAAGATTTTGGGACCTCAAAGGCTCAAACCTAAAAGAAATTTGTGATCCGTTTAAGAAAGATTATATATAAAAAAAAAAAAAGATTATATAAATACAAAAAAACTTGATCTAGTGATTTTGTTTTACAATTTTTTTTTCAAAGAACTAACAATTTAAAACTTATACTATTTTAGGATTAGTATCTTCAAGCTAATTATATTATTTCCTAACAATCATTTTTACTAAAATGGTGAAGTATTCAAAATTTTCTTAAGAATTGGCTGTTTGTAATATTTATGATGGATTATTGGATTTAGGTCACCCAACAAGATTTAGAGGACACATACAATGTGCCATTCAAATCATGTGTTTACGAAGGAAAGGTCGCGAGTGTAATGTGTTCGTACAACCAAGTCAATGGAAAGCCCACATGTGCTGATGAAAATCTCTTAAAGAACACTATTCGTGGTCAATGGCGTCTCAATGGGTAAGTTTTTCAAAGTCAACATAATCAACGGTTCATATCAATTTGACTCATAGACTAATAATAACAATGCATACGTATATAGGTACATTGTCTCAGATTGTGATTCTGTTGATGTTTTCTTCAACCAACAACATTACACTAGCACTCCGGAGGAAGCCGCCGCCGCCTCCATTAAAGCTGGTTAGTTGTTTTCCTCCTCCGTTGTTGATGTTAAATCTAATGCATATGGACCGTTTGATCAATTTTGACACGAAAAACATCGTGTCGTTTTTCAGGTTTGGATTTGGATTGCGGGCCGTTTTTGGCGATCTTCACGGAAGGTGCGGTGAAGAAAGGATTGTTAACGGAGAATGACATCAATTTAGCACTTGCTAATACATTAACAGTCCAAATGAGACTTGGTATGTTTGATGGTAATCTTGGGCCGTATGCTAATCTTGGGCCACGAGATGTTTGTTCTCCGGCCCATAAACATTTAGCCCTTGAAGCAGCCCATCAGGGAATTGTTCTTCTCAAAAACTCTGGTCGCTCTCTTCCACTCTCCCCTAGGCGCCACCGCACCGTCGCCGTGATCGGACCTAACTCTGATGTCACTGAGACTATGATCGGAAACTATGCAGGGAAAGCATGTGCCTATACGACGCCGTTGCAAGGAATTTCAAGATACGCGAGGACACTTCACCAAGCTGGTTGTGCTGGTGTGGCTTGTAAAGGTAACCAAGGATTTGGTGCGGCTGAGGCAGCGGCGCGTGAAGCCGACGCGACAGTTCTTGTAATGGGATTGGATCAGTCGATAGAGGCGGAGACACGAGATCGAACCGGGCTTCTCTTACCGGGTTACCAACAAGACCTAGTGACCCGTGTGGCTCAAGCTTCTAGAGGCCCAGTCATTTTGGTCCTTATGAGTGGTGGACCAATCGATGTAACCTTCGCTAAGAATAATCCACGTGTTGCTGCCATCATTTGGGCCGGGTATCCGGGTCAAGCGGGTGGAGCTGCCATCGCCAATATCATCTTTGGTGCTGCTAACCCCGGTACGTAGCTCTGAGTGCTGATACTGAGTTGTTTAACCAAAGTAATGAATATTTAGCTTTGATTAGTAACATTCAATATTATATGATAGGAGGGAAGCTACCAATGACATGGTATCCACAAGATTATGTGGCAAAAGTGCCAATGACAGTAATGGCCATGAGAGCATCCGGAAATTACCCAGGAAGGACATACAGATTTTACAAAGGTCCAGTGGTGTTCCCATTTGGGTTCGGTTTAAGTTACACTACCTTCACACATAGTTTGGCCAAAAGCCCATTGGCCCAACTATCAGTTTCGCTCTCTAATCTCAACTCTGCCAATGCCATTCTCAACTCTTCATCACACTCCATCAAAGTGTCTCACACCAACTGCAATTCGTTTCCAAAAATGCCCATTCACGTCGAAGTGTCAAACACCGGTGAATACGACGGAACACACACGGTTTTTGTATTTGCCGAGCCGCCGAAAAACGGAATAAAAGGATTGGGTGTGAACAAACAATTGATAGCGTTTGAGAAGGTCCATGTCATGGCAGGGGCAAAACAGACCGTTCGAGTCGATGTTGATGCTTGCAAGCATCTTGGTGTAGTGGATGAGTATGGAAAGAGGAGAATCCCAATGGGTGAACATAAGCTGCATATTGGTGACCTTAAACATACTATTTTGGTCCAACCACAACTTTGAGGGAGGCATATTAAAAACAGCAAATAAGGAAATCATTTTAACAAAGTGGATTATATTGGTTCCTCTTATTTATATTATATATAGAGAGATAGGTTTATTTTCTTGTGAAATCACTCAAGAAAAGTATGAATTTGTAAAGAAGCACCAAAGGGTTGCTTCTTGGTTGTGTTTTTTTTCTTTATTTTTTTTTTGGACCAAAGTTATTGTAACTTGTGGCTCCCAACATAAGAAATACAAGGAGCCCTTGTAAAATGTTGAAACTAAAGATAAATGAAAATATATGATAAATTTGATATATACTGGATCTTTAATTAAAGTATATTAGAAGAAGAAGGTAGAACTAATTCATTCCCATGTCTTTAAAAGCAGAACAAAACACTCTGTTTATGGAAAAGAAAAAATTATGTAACATGTCAGATGTTCCATATTGATAAGCTTGGAAAATGTTATTATTTGTCAATTGCTATTTACTAGTGCCCTAAAGTTAGTTGTGTACGTGTTTTTTCTTTTCTGTTTTTGTCTATATTTTTCCACAGGTGTTGTGCGAGGAGTTTTTGGTTGGACCTTTGGGAATGAAGTCGTAAATGACTCACTCGCGCAACTCTATAGGTTCATGGAATGGTGTGAAGATGTTGGTGTGGTGGATGAGATTTATTTTAAAAGTACATTCATTTGTGTTGAGGTCACTTTTAGGTTAGGTTTGAATATGTATTTAAGTTTTTTTTTTGTTTTTGTTTGGTTTGAAGTATGTTTTTACGTTAGTTACTTATGTAAATGCTTTCAAGATCCTTCTTTGGCTATAAAACAAAAAAAAAACACCTTCTTTCGTGTCGGATCTTGAGATCACTTTTAGGTTTGGTTTTACTTTTCTTCCTAATTAATATGGTTTAATTTCATGGCAGTAAATAAATGGTTTACAATAGGCAAAGTAAAAACATAGAGGGGGTTGGTGATGACTTTTACTCGGCTGCGACAAAATTCTCATCTGTATATTTTTAACCCTATACAAGAAACTTAGACTCTACCTACTTGCATCACAAGTCTTGAAAATTTCCATAAACACCTAACTAGAATTATATAAGAAGGATTTACTAATTCTTGTAAACTCTTAGCAATGGCGTTTTCATTTATCAGAGAGCTCCGGATCTCAGTCACCCTTGTCGTTGTTTTCTTCCTCTTAGTTTCCTTTCCAGGTGAGTCGTTCATTTATACACACCCATATATGTTACTTGTGTTGCAAGCTTTTGGTTACTTCATTTAAGAATGTTAATATTACAGGGAACACTTATAGTGAAGAAGACGATTCAGAGGCAGGAGGTGCAGGTGGAGGAGTTGGAGTTGGCGGGACAGGATTTGGCGGTGGTGGGACTGGTGTGGGAGGCGGAGGGACAGGTTTTGGCGGAGGAGGAACAGGAGGATTAGGCGGTGGCGGTGGTAACGGAGGAACAGGAGGATTAGGCGGTACCGGTGGTAACGGAGGCTTTGGAGGAGGAGGAGCAGGAGGATTAGGCGGTGGCAGTGGTAACGGAGGCTTTGGAGGAGGAGGAGGATTAGGTGGGGGTGGTGGTAACGGAGGCTTCGGAGGAGGAGGATTAGGCGGCGGTGGCGGCGGCTTAGGTGGGGAAGGTCCACCGGAGATAGTTGCCAAAGCTTTGGAATGTTTAAATGAGAAACACGTAATTAAAACTAAAGCTAGTTACTTGCAACACAAGCAAACTGCGAACTAGTTTAAAAACTGAAAATCCAACACTCAATCTAATATTATTTATTTATAACTTAACTTCTCATCCTTGGGCCTTGGCTATTTTTAATTGATTATAATTTTCACTCAAACTCCCAAATACAATGCAGATATATAGAGAGTGTGAAGAAACATGGAGGCTAACGTTAAACGGAGACCTAAATATTCCGGTGGCGAGTACGGAGGAGTTCTGCGAAGGACCATGCTTCTCCGAGACACATTTGGCTTTGAATTGCATTGAAGAAATTATTCATCACTACAGATTCTTTAACAGAGCCACCATTCACGACATCCGTGAAACCCTCAAGTCTGGCTGTAGCTACGGACCTGAACGAGGTTTGCTATTCTTTAGACCGGTTCTTGATCTCGTTTAGACCGCTTTATTTCGTAATGTTGGGTTAAATAATTGTATGCAGGTGATTTCAACGTTTTGGAGCATATTGAAGATGAAGAAGAAAATAGAAGTGAGAAGATAAAGTCAAAATCTGGACCGTTGCTTGGGACTGTGTTGTTCACCATTGCATTGCTTCTCTAAGACCTTTCTTAAATTTTAGCCATTATCATGTATACATATGTTGCTTATCTAATCAATACAATATATATAAACCGATCTCTTTGTATACTATTGATGTCCAAATAATATTATTATTTTTTTTGGTGATCATGTCCAAATAATATTATTATTACTAGATGAGATTTTATTTTTGTAAATATCATATGAAATGAAAATGGGTTGGATTTACATTGTTGATTACCTAGAGTTTTGGTTCCTTCGCAAAAAAGAAGAAAAAACAAGGAAGCAATTTTTTTTCTCAAACACAGATTTTCTTTAACTCATCCACAAACTCATCAGATTTGAAGTTTTTTCGATGACGCCTTGCGTTGATAGAATTGATGATCTCGCGGTCTACAGTTTTGAAGGACGGACAGCGAATGACCTGTGAGTTATGGAGAAGATTGTTTCTCTGCTTCCAAATAGCATAAATTGTGGCCCTGAGCAACAATATTTCTGATGATATAAGGAGAAGAACCGGTGCTTAACTTGATCCAAGACAATAAGCTTTCCCAGTCCCGGAACAGCACAGGGGGCAACCTCAATCTAGCTTTGGCCAAGTTCCAAATTGTTCTACTGAATCCACAAGAAAGAATGAGACAAGTTCAAAATGGTTCCAAATTGCACAGGGAGCAACCTCAATACTAGATGAGATTTCTACCAAATGGAGAGTTTATTTCTTAATAAATACTTCAGCACTTACCCATATAGGAGACAAGAAGTTTATGTATGACTCTAAGAATATATCCTTACATGCCAAACAATATACTTGAAAATTTGAAAGAAAAACTCCAAAACCGATTTCTAAAATAAGCAAAATAAATTTCCAAAATTGGATTATGGCTATCATATGAACCATACTTAGGTTTACCCCTGGGGTGAACCATACTTAGGTTTACCCCTGGGGTGAACCTTTAAATTCACCCAACAGATTATAGCCAATCGTTTTGCCATGTCATTATTAATACTAGAGCATTAAAAAAAAAAGAAACACAATTAAAAAAAAAGGAAATCACAAAATAGATTTAGGGTTTAAGGTTTAGGGTTTAGGGTTTAGGGTTTAGATTTTACAATTAAAACGAAATTAGATGTCGGTTTGGGTTGCCAAATGAGTGGTTAGGGTTTAGATTTTATAATTAAAAGTAAATTAGATATCGGTTAGGGTTTAGGGTTTAGGGTTTAGATTTTACAATTAAAACGAAATTAGATGTCGGTTTGGGTTGCCAAATGAGTGGTTAGGGTTTAGATTTTATAATTAAAACGAAATTAGATATCGGTTTGGGTTGACAAATGAGTGGTTAGGGTTTAAATTTTACAATTAAAACGAAATTATATATCTGTTCACCGCTGGGTTTAGGGTTTATGGTTTAGGATTTGGGTTTAGGGTTTAGGGTTTATATAACAAATATTTCACAAACCTAAACAGATATATAATTTCGTTTTAATTGTAAAATTTAAACCCTAACCACTCATTTGTCAACCCAAACCGATATCTAATTTCATTTTAATTATAAAATCTAAACCTTAACCACTCATTTGGCAACCCAAACCGACATCTAATTTCGTTTTAATTGTAAAATCTAAACCCTAAACACCCTAAACCCTAAACCCTAAATCTATTTTCTGATTTCTTTTTTTTTTTAATTGTGTTTTTTTTTTAATTCTCTAGTATTAGTAATGACATGGCAAAACGATTGGCTATAATCTGTTGGGTGAATTTAAAGGTTCACCCCAGGGGTAAACCTAAGTATGGTTCATCAAGTATCATCAACTCAAAACAATCCATTGTAATTCAGTTTTCTATTTCAAAATTTATAATTTAAGTGCACACTTGATTCTGCAAGTTCACACATAAGAACACACTTAAATAGTTTTATATATCGGAATTTTACATATAGGAATCTGATTATAATATAAATAAAATAAAACACGGAAACACAGTAAAATAAAAATAAAAAAGCGATTTAATTGCCAACCGTTGGATCTCTCTTTTCCCTCCAAAGAGATCAGATCATAATTGTTTTCTTTTTTCTTTCTCCCACTAAAACAGAGAACACGACGAAGAACAAGATCATCGACGTTTCTTTCAATGGCGGATCTAAAGAATCTCTTCCTCCTCACGAAACATCCATCAACAACACAGATCTTCTTTACGTCTCTCTTCTTCCTCTCCCTCTTCCTCCTCTCATCTTCTTCTCTCTCAGACTTCTCTCCATCACTCATCGTCTCTAGCTTCACCTCTCGTCTTCTCACAGCAGCAAACTTCTTCTCTTCTCCTTCTTCTTCTTCTTCCTCTGCTTCAGACACAACTATGTTTCTCGCTTCTATTTCTCCCAGAAGAATCAACGAGCCAAAGATTGATTCGGAGACCAAAGAACTCACTTCTTGCGACATTTTTGATGGAACTTGGGTCTTCGACGATTCTGAACCGGTTTATTCACCTGGTTATTGTCCTTTCGTTGAAGATAAATTCAACTGCTTCAAAAATGGTCGACCCGATTCGGAGTTTCTCCGTCATCGATGGCAACCTCATGGATGCTCGATTCCAAGGTTAGTTCTTGTTCTAGAGTTAATTACGATTCTGCCATTCCCCTTTGTGACTCTGTTTTGGGGTTGTTTAGATTCGATGGGAAGAAGATGCTGAAGATTCTGAGAGGGAAAAGAGTTGTTTTTGTTGGAGATTCATTGAATAGAAACATGTGGGAGTCTCTGGTTTGTTCACTTAGGTCAACATTGGAAGACAAAAACAGAGTTTCTAGGGTTTCTGGAAAACAGAGTAATCTTCATAACGAAGGCTTTTACGGTTTCAGGTTTAAAGTAAGTGTATCACAGAACAGAATCTCCCATTGGTTTTTTGGATTATTTTAGTTTTGGTGATGAATTTTTGATATCTTCTTTAGGACTTTGCATGCTCTATTGACTTCGTCAAATCACCATTCCTCGTTCAAGAATCAGAAGTTGTCGATGTATACGGGAAGAGAAGAGAGACACTGAGAATCGATATGATTCAACGATCGATTAAGAAGATACACAAAAACGCAGACATTGTTATATTTAACACTGGTCACTGGTGGACTCACCAGAAAACCTATGAAGGGTATGTGAACTATGAACATAAACCTTCTTCTTTGTTTTCGATTCGTAGCTCTTAACGGGTTTTTCGATTTTCAGGAAAGGTTATTTCCAGGAAGGAAATCGAGTTTACGAAAGATTAGAAGTGAAAGAAGCTTATACAAAAGCTCTTCATACATGGGCTGATTGGGTTGATTTCAATATCAACAGTACTAAAACCAGAGTCTTCTTCGTTGGTTATTCCTCTTCACATTTTAGGTATGAATAGGTTTCTTTCACTCCAAGCAATGTGTTGAACAGTGTTTAGGGTTAGTGTTGATCTGAGTTTTACCTGCAGAAAAGGGGCTTGGAACAATGGAGGACAATGCGATGGAGAAACAAGACCGATACAGAACAAAACGTACACAGGAGTGTATCCATGGATGATGAAAGTTGTGGAATCGGTGATCTCGGATATGAAAACGCCTGTGTTTTACATGAACATTACGAAGATGACTTGGTACAGAACCGATGGTCATCCGTCGGTTTACAGACAACCCGCCGACCCCCGGGGAAGTTCTCCTGCAGCTGGAGTGTTTCAAGATTGTAGCCATTGGTGCTTACCTGGAGTTCCTGATTCATGGAATCAGCTTCTCTATGCTACGCTGCTAGTTTCACATGGTTCCTTGCCTGACAAGTCACTTGGAAGTCTCTTGTAAAATTGTGTTTTACTTTCTGTCTCTGTAAATTAGCCATTCGTTTGTTGATATTTGCAAGCTTTGTTTTCCATTGTTCTTCTAAGAAATTTGAAATAGAAAAGTTCCAAGTAATATAGTTTGGAAGGTGTTCCACTGATAGTATGCTAATATTTCAATTACATTAGATTATTTCGAAATTTCAAGTTTATTACGGCTAAAGTAATGCAATATAGCAATTAGTAAACCAATCGCGCATACCATGATATTATTATATGTTCAACAATTATGGAATTATTAAATAAAATCAATCAGTTCCTAAAGAACAAAATAAAAAGGGAGTTTATTAATTTAATTATGGGTTTTACTTAGATAAGTAATCTTGGTAAATAAAAACTTATTAATTAACTTAATTGTTCGATGTATAAAAGGGAAATATCCTCGCATGTAACTCGTAAATTTTATTGATATGATGTAATTATTTTCTTTTAAGAAAACTCTATTAGTTATATTAGTGTGATTATAAATTTTTTTAACCTAGTGAAAGAATAGTTGTAGTCTTGTAGATGTTTTTTTTGTGTGTGTGTGTTCAAATAATATCTTTTTACAACCATGTAACACCAAAACACCAAATTACAACACCAAATTTGGTGTTTTGGTGTTCCAGTTTTTTTTTTAATCTCCAACCATAGACGCCAAATATTACACCAAAAACAAAACTTTTTATTATTATATTATTAAATTTAAAATTTTCTTTATTTTTAATAATTTGATAAACTACTTATTTTTAAACTGATTTATTTAAATTTCATTATTATAAAATTAAAATCGATAAATTAAAATAATAAAAATACATTACATTGTTCTAATTCTCTGAATTATTTAAAAAATTTGTGTAAATTATTATCTCATATTAATTTCAATTAAAAGTTCATATTATTAAAGATAAAAAAAACAAAACAAAAAAACAAAATATTGATAGTATATTTGTTTTTAATTGATAAACAATAATTAAATATAAAACTAAATCAAAAACACAAATAAAATAATAATATCTTTTTAATGTTTTGTGAATAGTATGACACCAAATATGGTGTAACACTGTTCACAAAACACCAAAAAAATAGAAATGCCGTCCAATATAGTATCTTGTTGGAGTTGAATTATCACCAAATTTGGTGTTTTGGCGTCTCCTTGGAGATGGTCTAAGAATATACGAATTTCTTAGTATTATATTTCGAACAAATCTTCGTATTTAAAGCCCAATATTGATTGGAAATGGGCAAAAGATCCAACTTGTGTACGG